AACTCTGAGCATGCTCACCTTGCAACCAGTCTTAGCTCACTGAGCATGCTCTAATCTTCTCTTTCGTCCCCATCAGGCCATTTTCCAGCTCCCCCTTCCTCCTCTGTAGCAGCTAATTTGAGCATGTTCTCTCCCTCCTTCCTAAAGCACCCAGGGCTCCCAAAGCTTCCCCACCCAGTGCCAGTTGCCCCTTACCTGTACCTCTCCTCCATACTAAGCATACTCCATCCTCCCTCCAACACCTCCTGAACTACATCTCCCAACAACCCCTGGGGGAACCCAAGGAGCACTGCCTCCCAGGTCCATCCTCCCCAAAAAGGAACAGGACTAGAGCTCCCAGAATGCCTTGGGCTGCACCTAGTGAGCATGCTCCCTGGCTCACCTTTTTCCTTGGGGTGGGGGGCTCATTCCCTGCCTCCCTTTCCTTTCTTTTGGGGGGTCCAGGCACATCATCCGGGGGGGGCCCAGCAGGTAGGGGACCCTTGCGCCTGGGCGGGGGTGGTGGAAGTGGCAGCTCCTCCGTCAGCTTCCATCCACTCCCCAGGCTGGCACCCTCCTCGCCGTTGTCAGCCCTGCGGCGGCCTGGTCCCTCACCTGAATCCTGGAGAGATGTAAGTTGGGGGTGAGATCCTGCACAGCTCCCTGACCCACCGCCTACCCAGAGTCCAGCACCCTGCCCAGCTCCTACCCCTACCTTGCTGGTCCGGCCTTCCTGAGTGCAGCGAGGGCACTCCCAGCAGTTGGGGATCTCCGCATTGATGACACCCTCAGCCTTCCCCATCTGTAGGCAGTGGGCAGGGAGTGGATGTAGGATGCCAGACACAGTGTTCCCACCTCCTTGCTCTCTGACCATGTGCCCCATCCCAGACTCCAGGGTCCCCAGGGCCATCACCTTCAGGCAGCCAGGGTGGACGATCTCATTGCAGATTGTACACTCCATGAGACTCAAACCAAATTTCTCTTCTTCTCCCTCCACTGTGTCTTCCTTCCCAGCCTCCCCACACAAGAGGCACACAGCTGTGTGTGGGAGCACGGGCTGTTGGTAGAGAGGGGACATCAGAGACCCCAAAAACAAGCAACAGGAGAAGGACCCTTTCTTCTGGGGACCCTGGCCAGCTGCTAGATGAGGTTCAGAACCCATGGGCTGAGCTAGGTCAAATCCTGAATTTGCTCCTTCTTTGCAGTATGACCTTGGGCAACTGATTTCACCTCCTTAAGGCTGTTTCTCTACCTGTAAAATGGGGTGAGAAATTTTTCCCTCACGGAAATGTTCTAAGAACGAGATAACGTATGAGAGGCATTCGATACACAGTTGTCATCAACGTTGTGACTGTTGCAGCTGGACCCAAGGCCTGTGTGACCCTGACTTTGTAGCTGGCTTTGAGGGAAAGAGACCACAGGCAAACATGATGGTAATATTCAAGGCTGCAGGAAATGCAGCAGCAGCTTGGGGTGACTCCAAATGTGCTCAATGGGCAGCCAGGGTTGCTCTGGACCCCATAATGAACCTGGTTTTGGCAAGATCCCTGGGAACACTAACAGCAGCCTAGGACCCTAGGTCCTAGGGAAAACAGGACCAACTTCAGACAATGTGACTTTGGGGAGGACAGTGGTAATACTGAGTCATATCAGGGATGCTGAAAGTTGTGAGACAGGCTCAAGGAAAAAGCAGATGAGGAAGAAGAAACAGGAAAGGGAGGCAAGGGTTGGGGGACAAAGGAAGAGAAGAGAGGGGCTGCGGGATGAAGAAACCAACCAGGAAAGAGTGGCTGCAGGAAAAAAGGTGGGGGGCAGGGGGCTGCCACACAGGAGGCAGCTGGCTCCTCATGGTTCCTGGGGAAGGGCTCCTCTCTGAGACCCTGGGAAGCTCAAAGGATGGGGAAGTCTGGGAAGAAACGTAGTGTTTCTCAGATACCTACTGCATGCTAGGCCTTGCAGCAGATACGTTTATATCCATGCTATTGTTTAATCTTTATAACTCAGCAAAAGAAACCTTTTATAGAGAAGATAACTTAAGGTTCAAAGTGATTTGCTCAAGGTCACACAAAGGGTAAACATGGCCTCAAATCCAAGACCCCTCTGATGGATGAGGAAGAGGCCAAAGAAGGCTAAGACTTATTCACAGGGGCCAGCTCCAGGGGTGGGTCCCTGTGCACAGATACCGCTGGGGAGGGGTATAAGAGGGACAGAGCTTTTTATGGGTCTGTGCCTCTGAAAGTGGGAAAAGTATGAAGGTAGGGACTGGGCCGGATTCTTCTGTGCACCCTAACATTACCCGCACCTTGGAGCTGAGAACAAAAATGGTCCTGGTGGACATCTGAACAAACCAGTGAATGAATGAGTGAACATACAGCAACTCTACAGTACACTCTAGGAAGCAGCCACCAGCCATCCCAGAAAGGCACTTGGGCCAGCTGGGGAAGGGCCCCCAGAGCCCCAAGGGTGCCCGATGGAGTGGGGACAGAACTCACGGCAGTGCACTGCCGGAGCAGGCACGACTGCTTCATGCGCCCGGGCCCCCCGAACTTCTTCATGTCTCGGCAGAAGTGGCAGTCCCCGCACTCAGTTCGCACACAGGCCCGGCAGCGACGGCAGCGGGTTCGGCGTCGGCGCGCTCCGGCCCCCGGTCCCCGGCTGCTCGACGACATTGGGGGCGTCAGCAACGCCGAGGGCTGTGGGTGAATGGTGGCAGTGTCAGGAGGGCCAACCGGGGCCCTGGCCTGGGAGGCTCCTGGCAGCTTCCCCAACTCCTAGGCAGCGAGAGCTTGCCCTCCTAGCCAGGGAGACAAGGAATAAGGAGGTCATCCCTCTGCTGGGGGGGTGGGGGGAGGTCACTCCCTCTGCTCAAGGTCTCCCTCTCAAGCAGTGAACCTGGCTCCTCTGGGAGCCTGGGAACTAGCTTCCCGACCTCACTCCTCCTCTAACCCTTCCTCAGTGCCCCCTTACCTAGCCCAGGGAAGACAAAGGGGTCACTGGGCCCTCTCCACTGACATTCCCACAGCAAAGCTCCTTGGAAAGCCAAGGGTTCCTTGTCTGTGAAGTTACCTTAGAGAATCCCGACTCTTCCCCTGTTCTCCAAATGTACTACACCCCATGCTCTTCCCAAACTAAAACTCCCCAGGTTTACCTCCAAGACACCCACAGATTCCTGGGCAGAAGCTCCAGACCTTTCTTGTTCCCTTCTTTCTCTCTCTCACACTACTACCACCCAATCTCTCTTCCCCAAAACCTAGATATCCTCACCAGATCCAATGGGATCCTTGGCCCCCCAACATCCCTAAAGACTCACTGTACTGCCCAACTTCCCAGGGCTCTGGGATGCCCCTGAGATGTTGCTTCAGAGTCCCTCCTCTGCCCAAGATCTCAACTCCTCTGCTCCCCACAGAGCTCCCTCTCCAAGCACCCTCCTCTTGGAGCTCTCAGGTAAACCTCAGCAATCTCCCAGATTCCCTGGGATTCTAGAATTCAGCCTTACCTCTCTACAGAACTCAGGATGGGCTCAGTCCTACATGTGCCCCTCTGGCCCCCACTAGCTTCCCAGGCTGCTTTCCAACCCCAACTGTCTAGAGTCCCTTGGGCTCCCCTTCCCATGGAAACCAGATCCTCCAAAATCCCATATGGACTCAGCAGGCCTGGAGGGTCTCTTAAAGGCCAGAGTCTTACCCCAGCTTCCCCCTTTCCACGGACTTCCAGACCCATCCATGGGTGGAAGGGGCCCTCCAGCGCTCCAGGGGAGGGGCCTGAAAGGCGGCGACTGCAGGAGGGGATGGGGGTCTGCAAAGGGAAGCGGGGTCTAGGAAGGAAGGCCAGTTCCCCAGGGTTGAGAGGTAACAGGAAAGAGGGCTGGAGATGAGTTTGGAGCACAGAGAGGGTGAGGCTGGGGGCGGGGAAGGTAGAGAGAGGCTGGGCAGAGGATGAATGGGAGTGGGAGCTGCCCAGGTCTGGGGGTGAGAAGGAGCCGCACGAACCCACCTCACACGTGTCCCGGGAGCCATCTCTCCCTTCTCGGCAGCTCCCGGCGGGTCGGCGGCCATCAGCGGCGGGGGGGCCGGGCGGCGCGGGGCGCGGAACGCTCAGAACGCCGGGGTCCACGGCCCCCCGAGGGCGCTCGGCCCCTCCCTCCGGCGGAGGCCGGGACGGCGGCGAGTGGAGATGGGGGGCACCGGGGGGGAGGCCCTCCCACGGGCTGCGGCGCGGCCCTTCCAGGGGGAGGTCCTGCTCTGGCGGGCTCAGTCCCTCAGCCCCCCCAGACCAACGGGGGCTCCTCGGGCGCAGGGTGCTCCGTTTCTACCCGGCCCCCACTCAGTCCGGGGTCCGAGTTCCAGGTCCCCTCCCCCAACCCCGCACCGCCTCTCCCCAGCGCCCCCGGCCCTTTAACTGGCCTCTTCCCGGCCCCTACTGCCCAGGGGTCCAGGGCCAGGCCTGGGCCCCCCACCGTTTCCGGGGTTCAAGCCCCACCCACCGCCGGTTCCCGGGGAGGGGGGGGTCCCTGTAACCTGCCCCCCTCCCCTGGGCCCGCCCCTGGACTGCGGCCCCCTGCCCTACCGCTACGGGGCGAGGGGAGGGGGGTGAAGGAAGCTGCTCCGGCCCCGCCCCCCCAGCCTGTGCGCGCCCCCGCCCTCTCCCCCGTCCCCCCAGCGCGCGACGCTCCGGAGATAGAGATTTAAATAAAATTTGAATAAATCCCCTTCCTCAAGCAGGAGGTTGGAAGGAAAGGATGGAAGGGGGCAGGGAAAGGGGGAGGGGGCAATTGGGGTGCCTCAGCCCCCCTGGTCCCCTGGCCCCGCGCTGCTTCGGCCCGGGGCCCTGGCCGCCTCTCTCATCCCTCCTGAGCTCCTTCCTCCTTCCTCCTCTCTTCCCCCTCCCCTCCCTCCTCCTTCTCTCCTCCTCCTCCTCCTCCTCTTTACTCCCTCCTTCTCCCAGAGGAACCCCGCCCCCTGCCCCCTCCTTCCCTCACCACCTCCACTTTCCAGGACCAACACGCGCAGGGCACAACGGAAGTCGTAGTCTTGCGGACGCTGGCGCTACGGTGGGAATAATGGGAGGCTGGGGACAGCGGGGACTACAAGCAAGATGGCGGAGGGCGTGCCAAGCCTGGAGTCGAGGATGCTGGGAGTTATAGTTCGGTTGTCCCAAGGCTCCCCGTTACAGAGCATAGAGAAGGAGCGGGAACGATGACTACAAACAAGATGGCTTTCTCCCCCGACCTACTTCCCAGGCACTCACACGCCCTTCTGTCCACAACCCTCCGCGTGTGTGGTACCTGACGGGAGTCGCAGTACATCTGCTGCCTTCCCGCTGCCATTTCTGTTCGTCAGGAACAATGGAAAGGTGAAAAGGAACGAGGACTACAAGCAAGATGGCGGAAGAGGGGCGTACACCTGACTAGTAGTCGATCTTATGAGGTGCGATGGGAATAGTAGTTTTTTAGCCTTCCAGTGCTCCTTAAGAATGGCGGAACCAGGAGGATAAGGAGACTACCATAAAGATGGCAGGTTACCTAGCCTCTCCCCGTCGCCTCATTCTACCACCTTGGGCACCTCGCCCGCCTGTAATATCCAAATCCCCCTCCCAGTAGCGCAGAGCCTGACGGGAGTTGCAGTCTTCCCGGCTCCCCTCTGTTATCTTCAGTCTAGACAATGGAAGGGGAAAGGGGCCGGCAAGGAAAGCAGCAAAGATGCCGGCCAAAGGAAAGAAGAGACGGCGCCCTGGGACTTGTAGTCCGCGTGCTAAGGCTACTCCTTGCGGAAACGGGGGGAAGAACTACAGTAAAGATGGCGTCATATCACTTGCACTCTGCGCCAGTGCCTGCTGGGGGACGTAGTCCCTTCCTTAGCTCTACGGAGAAAGGACGTAGGCTGTTGGAATGTGCATCACCGCGGACACGCCAAATTGCGAGCCGACGGAAACAGAGAGTCTCTTTCCTCCTCTCCCCACCACCCCCTTCTGAACAACCTGCCGGGAAATGTACTCCCACACCTTCACTCGCTAGTGGAGGGGGAGAATTTATGTCTCCACTGGGGATCAGTGGAGGTGAGAGAGAAAGACGTCCGGGCGATCCAGGAATATAGAATATCCGCCTCCCCGTGTGGCGAGGACTTCATATTTCAGGGTAAGCTCTTATAGGAAAGCAACAGTAATCAGTATTGTCGCGACAGGGGTGGCGTGGTCCTTGCCGAAAGTACCGTCACACTGATGTCCCTTGGAAAGCTTGGGCGCCACACACTCGATGCTTGTCACCCCAAACTTCAGGGAATCAGTATCTTCCAAGTCGTGAGGGCTCCAGGGAAAGGGCTCCAGAGTCATACAAAATCCCTGCCCCTCTTGGGAAGTTACCAAACCTCTATTTTCTCACCTGGAAAGTGGGGATCATGATGCCTACCTCGAAGCAGATTTGGGGAGTATTAAGACAATGTTCACGAAGGTGCCCAGCTCAGGGCCTGACACGGGCCACGTGTTGGTATTTCCTTTTTCGACGTCTCTGGCAGCCCAGCTGTTCTGGGATCCCAGGAATCCATCATGCTAGAAGGAGTTAGCTCCTGTGAGAAGAAAACTGTAGCGGGCAGTCTAACCCCATCTCTTGAGCCGCACCCCCTCCTCCTCGCCCCTCCTCATGTAGATCCTCCAGCGTCCACTACCGAGCACTGCTCCTAGGGGGCGCCCATTCTCCATTTGACTGAGGTCCTACCAACTGGCCAGATTTCCTCAACCTGAAGTTGTAGGCGCTGCATTGCCCAGCCTCATCTCCAGCCAGCCTTGGTGGCATCCCTGTGGACACCTCAGCTACCAGAGTAAATGGCAGCTTCCGCCCTCTGTGACTTCTTACCTGCCTTCTTGATCTTCCTCCTCTGCCTAGAAAAATACTCACTTTTGACCCCAAGGCAGCCCCTTGTTCTTCCCTCTCTCTTCTGTGTTTGAGAAGAGAGGCTTAGAGGGCCCTGCGGAAGACTTGGTGGGTGTGGTTTTTCTGTCAGGGAAGTTGCCGCAGTGGCGTGAAGTCCTAAGTTTATAGGGACTGGGCGCAGCCTGAGCTGAGGCTCCTTCTAGCTCATACTTTATCAGTCGGGAAATCCTTGGCTCCCAGAGGGTTTTCTCCTCTATGTCCTCACTGCTTTAGCTTCAGCTTGCATGATTGCTTCAGGACTTTCTCGAGAGCTGTTCCCTCTGCTTGTTATATGCCTTTCCCCTCGTCCCCAGTCCACTTCTCCACCCAGTTAACTATTAATCCTTCAGGTCTCTGTTTAAATGCAACTGTCCCAGTGAAGTCTTCCTGTAATTCCCAGATGAGACTCATTTATTGGCTCTTCCACTGGATTGTAGGTTTCTATGAGTCCACCTCACATGTTATTAAGTGCTGTCAGCATCTCATTTGATCCTCGTAAGTATCCTATGAGGTAGAATCCCATTTTACAGATGAGGAAATGGGGGCCCAGAACAGATGAGTGGTAGAGCCAGCATTCAAACCCAAGACTCCAGAACCCATCCTCGTAGCTACTGCAACATCCACAAATTGATCAAATCCAGCCCATGTGTGTGTTTAGTTTGGCATAGCAACAATGAATTTCTCAAGCAAAAGTGGATTTCCACTTTCACCTGAAATCTAGCAACACTAAGTCTGCATTCTTTGAACAGCAGGAGCTGAGCAGTGGCTGCCCTTTTTGGATAAGACACGTACTCACCAGTCAACACAGTCTACACCTAGTTTGCTTCAGTTCTAATGTAAGCATTATTGACCTGACAGCATTAACTGAAACAATCAGAATAAGCCTATTGAGGGTCAAGACCATTTCCTGCACTGTGTATAGCATCTCAGTGCCAAGCGCTGTGCCTGCAACCACCTCTGGGTGGGTAGGGGGATGGCAGAGTGAGATTGCATGTAAGGATATAGGGGAACTTTTACTTTTCACCTTATAACCAATCTACAGCTTGAAATTTTTACCATGAGCAGATGCTATTTGTATACTTAAAACATGAGTTGAAAATACTATAATCCAGCCATGTTGACATTAAAATATAAAGACAACAGTCAGGGGATGGCCCCGTGGCCGAGTGGTTAAGTTTGTACCCTGCTTCAGCGGCCCAGGGTTTCGTCGGTTCAGATCCTGGGTGCAGATATGGCACTGCTCATCAGGCCATAGGGAGGCAGCGTCCCACATGCCACAACTAGAAGGACCCACAACTAAAAATACACAACTATGTAACAGGGGGCTTTGGGGAGAAAAAGGAAAAATAAAAAAATCTTAAAAAAAAAAGACAACAGTCAGACCTTCTCAGACGTAAGTAAACTCAGGGAATACAGCACCCATGAGCCCCTTTTCACCTGTACAAAAATGATGTTCATCTCCATACTATATAAAGAACTCACACAACTGAACTACAAAAAACAAACAACCCAATCAAAAAATGGGCAAAAGATATGAACAGACATTTTTCCGAAGAAGATATACAGATGGCCAATAGGCACATGAAAAGATGCTCAACATCACTAATCATCATGGAAATATAGATCAAAACTAAACTAAGGTATCACCTTATGCCCACTAGAATGGCTATAGTCACCAAGACAAAAAATAACAAGTGTTGGAGAGGGTGTGGAGAAAAGAGAACCCTCGTCCACTGCTGGTAGGAATGCAAACTGGTGCATCCACTATGGAAAACAGTAAGGAGATTTCTCAAAAAATTAAAAATAGAAATACCATATGACCCAGCTATCGCACTACTGAGTATTTATCCAAAGCACTTGAAATCAACAATACAAAGAGACTTGTGCACCCCTATGTTCATTGCAGCATTATTCACAATAGCCAAGACATGGAAGGAACCCAAGTGCCCATGGACTGATGATTGGATAAAGAAGATGTGGTATATATATACACAATAGAATACTACTCGGCCATAAAAAAGACAAAATCATCCCATTTGCAACCACATGGATGGACCTTGAGAGTATTATGTTAAGCGAAATAAGCCAGACAGAGAAAGACAAACACTGTATGGTTTCACTCATTTGTGGAAAATAAACAAACTTATGGACCAAGAGAACAGTTTAGTGGTTACCAGGGGGATGGGGGTGGGGGCTGGGAACAAGGAGTGAAGGGGTACATTTATATAGTGTCTGATAAATAATGTACAACTGAAATTTCATAATGTTATAAACTATTATGACCACAATAAAAAAAGAAAGAAAGTGGACACTGGAGAAAAAAATGATGTTTGTTTTCTGTCAACTTTATGCATTTTGTTTAAGAACCTTTGGAAGGATGGCTTAAGACAACTCAGGGGTGGTGGTTTCCTTTGTGAGGGCCTGGGCCGTGGGGCTGCAGACCAGTTTCAGAAACAGGTCAGACCTTTCAGTCTCCAGTGAGGAGCTGCTGAAAAATAATGGAGGGCACCTGCCTCCCTTCAGAACTATCTGCAACCTAGGAATGAGCGTGCCGAATTCAGGGGCCAGAGAAGCCCATCTATCCTGAGGCTCCTTTTTAGCACTACAGGCTCTTCCTTCTCAATCTCTCCTGGATCCCTGTAGAGGTTCATAGCTTCTATATCAGCCAGGTAGGGTAGGTTATGCTGTAGTAACAAATAATAGTGAAGTTTTGGTGGCTTAAAACAGCAAAGGTCTGTTTCTTGCTCATGCTGCATGTCTGGTGTTGGTCAGTGGGAGAGGTCTGCTCATTCTAGTCACTCAGGGAATAAGGCCAAGGAAAGAGGCTCCATCTCAATATGGGCTTCTATGATCACCATCCAATCGTGGATGGATAGGGGGAGGAGGACTTGGTGAAACACGCACTGGCTTTTATAGCTTCTGCCCAGAAGCAACACGTGACAGTTCTGCTCACATTGCATTGAGCAGTCCATAGCCTTGAGTAACTTCAAAGCGGGCAGAAAACGGAACTCTCCACATGCCTGGAAGGAGAAGAACTGGAATACTTGTGAGCAGTCCTAATGACAAGTACAGCTTCCTATGGGTCCCAGGGGAAGTTAGTGTCACCATAGAGAGGATTTTCTGGGCAAGCACCCACTACAAGACACCCACTGAATGAGCTCTTTTGTTGTCACATGGTATGGTGACATCCATATAAAGTCTGATTTACACTCAACTATGGTGGGCAAGTGAACAGAAATGCCTCTGTGAGAGGTTGATGGTCAGCCCTGGGATCAGTAATGACAAAAAGCAAGGCTCCCAAAAGGCAGTCTGGGTTTGATAGGTGAAGATCACAGAAGTGAAATGCTCAGCAGTAGGTGTGCTTTCGGGTGGCCACAGAAAATTTCAGTACAGCTCTTTGGCTAGTGTTCCTGGAGGGTCCTGAACCTCCTCAAATTTATCATGTACATAATATCACGTTTCTTTTTGCGGATGTACCCTTCCATTTGGGAGCAGGATCAATGCTCTGAGCGGGTTCCTGCAGGAGGGGCTCTGGACATTGTAAAAGTTTCCCTTTGTAAGATGGCAAATTGGATGTTTTTTACCACAATTAAAACTTAAAAAAAAAATTTTTTGTTTTCCCCTAAGTTACCGTGCAAACTAGGAGCCACGCAGAAGAGAGAATGGAAAGGGCATGATCCTTTCTTGAAATACCTATTTGAAAATAAAATCTAGCTAAGAGATGAGTCAAAATAAAAAAGATTGTTGGTTGCCATTGAAAATATTTAAATATCAATCTAAGACTAGACAATTAAGGAAAGCAAGGTTACAGAATAGCATATACTATGAACATTATAAAGATTAGTAAACTAAAAATAGTAATACAACCTACAAAAGTCTGGACATAGGGGAAGAGAGTGAGAGAAACATTAGGAATTAATTGGGAGTGGCTAATGTGGCGGGAGTTAATTAGCCATGTCTACTTTTAAAACATGTGATTCATAAATAATGAGTCCATCCTCCATGTTTTTCAAAATCTTTTTTCCTTAACCTTAGAGGAATCTTATAAGAAATAATGTCACTTTTAGTAAAGAAACATTTATCTGAAGTTCAACCATTCTTTCAGTTTCACTTACATTTCTTTTTCTGTTAAATTCAAATAAATTAAATGTAATGTTTTGTTTTAAAATAGGACATATAGTATGAATTGATTGTTATAAATTTTTTCCCATTTCTTTACCTGTGAGACGTCCACAATGATGTTCATTAAATGTTACTACAGTAATAGCTATTTCTGGGTGGTGAAATAGGGTGGCTATTTTCTTCTTTGTTCTTTTCTGGTTTGCTTGAATTTTTATAATGGACAGATATCATTTTAACAAAAACAATAAATTCATTATTCATTTAAATGTATATTTTAAGAATGCAATTGCAGGCTTGAATAGACATTTCTCCAAAGAGGATATACAAATGGCCAATAGGTACATGAAAAGATGCTCAACATCATTAGTTACTAGGGAAATACAAATCAAAGCCATGATGAGATACCCCTTCACACCCCTTGGGACGGCTATTATTTAAAAACAAACAAATAGAAAATAACAAGTGTTAGCAAGGATGTGGAGAAATTGGAATATTTGTGTATCACTGTTGGGAATGTGAAATAGTGCAGCCACTGTGGAAGACAATATGGCAGGTCCTCAAAAAAATTAAACATTAATTTAATGTGTAATTAATTAATTAAGCAAGCATAGAATTAAACATAGAATTGCCATCTCATCTAGCAGTCACACTTCTGTGTGTGTACCCAAAAGAAGTGAAAGCAGGGACTCTTAACAGATACTTTTATACTCATGTTCTTAGCAGCATTATTCACAGTAGCCAAAAGATGGACACAAACTAAATGTTCACGGATGAATGAATGGGTAAATAAAATGTGGTATTACATACAATGAGATCCTGTTCAGCCTAAAACGAAATGAAATTCTGATGCATGCTACAATGTGGATGAACCTTGAAACAGTATGGTAAGTGAAATAAGCCAGACACAAAAGGACAAATATGGTATGATTTCACTGATATGACGTACCTAGAGTAGTCAAATTCATAGAGACAGAAAGTGTAATGGTGGTTACCAGGGCCTGGAGCAGGAGAAATGGGGAGTTATTGTTTAATGGGTACAGAGTTTCAATTTTGGAAGATGAAAAAGTTCTGGAGAGGGATGGTGCTGATATTTGCACAACAAAGTGAATGTACTTAATAACAATGAACTGTACACTTAAAAATGATTAAAACAGTAAATTTTGTGTTTTTATTTTGCTACAATAAAGAATGACAAACCAAATGTACTGTAATAAGAGGAAAAAGGTAATATAATTGCAACAAGTTTTCTAGTTTAGAATGGATATGGAAGATACAGGTTTAAATTATACAGCGAACTCAGAATATTACCTGGAAATGTCGCTGACTAACTGCCCCAAGTAACTCAAAGGAGATTTCTGAAGCACTTAACCGTCTCTCCAAATTGTTTTTTAGATATGTTAAGAGATGCAATCACCAACCACCCTGAACCAGTCTGCACCCCACTGCAAGAGCTACGCCTCCACACAGACGGGCTGAGAAGTGCCCAAGAGATCACCTTTGCTTCATTTCAATGTTAAGATTCCACCCCAGGAGGAGTTTAGGCCTTATTACCATAACATGCCATGTACGTGGAAGCATGTTTTCCAACTCCGCCTGCGTGAGCAAGTTCCCACCTCTCCCTTTTGAATATTCATTCCCATCCGAAACAAAAGGCCCCTGCTTTCTCTTGATCCGGGAGCCATGGCTGTGGAAGAAATTATCCATTGTCTCCTTTATTTGCTGCAAATAAATTTTACTTTGTGTGACAGCTACTTCTGGTGAAGGCTTCCATTTCAACTCACTGAGAAGTGGACCCACTTTGGTTCAGTAACAGAAACTTTTCAAACATATTCCAGTCACTTTCCACTTTCTTGTAAAAATAGAATAAATAGATATAATTGTGGTTTAAAAACAAACAACTAGTATGGAATGATTTTGAGCAACATTGTTAAGTGAAAAAAGCAAGGTGCAGAACAATGCATGTGGTTTACCACTTTGTTTTAAAAAGGCAGAGGCCGGCCCCGTGGCCAAGTAGTTTGAGTTCGCCTACTCCGCTTCGGCAGCCCAGGGTTTCACCAGTTCAGATCCTGGGCGCAGACATGGCACTGCTTGTCAGGCCACTCTGAGGTGGCATCCTGCATGCCACAACTAGAAGGACCCACAACTAAAATATACAACCATGTACTGGGGGGACTTGGAGAGAAAAAACAGGAAAAAAAAGTTTGAAAAGGCAAAAACCAAACATCCATATTTGATCACATATACATAAAATATCCTTGAAAGTATACAGAAGAAACAAGTAGCCGTGGTTGCCTCCAGGGAGGGGAAATGAGTGGCTGGGGAACAGAGGTGGGAGGAAACCCTTTCACTTAACAGGTGCCTTTTTGGCCCTTTTGAATATTGAACCAGACAAGTGAACTACCCATCCCAAAATGAGTGCATTACCTTCGTAAAGAATCACACATGATTATAAAGAATCAAATGATATTAAAAGCTTTCTGGAAAATTCTGATATGCACATCTCGTTGGTTGAGGACCACTACTACTAGATTGAATAAATGAGTGTTAAGCACGTCTTGTATGCCAAGCCCCATGCTAGGCAGCTATGATTCGAAATTCCTGGCCTAATCCAGAATGAAGAGGCAGCCTCAGGCCTCTGTCTATCTAAAGATGAGGGTTTGGGATTTATTCTCCCCATAATCTAGGATCTGTAAGACTGTGGCCTTCTGTGCCATACTGCATCTTTCCAAAGCTCCGTGGAGAGCCCTGAACCTGCATGTAGTACCCCCTCCGGCTGCTTCTGGGCTCCCTGCCTCTATCCCCTTTCTGAAATGGACCCAGTTTCCCCATCCCTTTAGGCCCAAGGCAGCCCCTAAACTCCAGCCAGTCCTTTGCAGAAACTAGGAACCCTTGAGGGCTTAGATTTGCTGCTGCCCAAAGCTCTCTGTTCTACTAGAATGACCTGAATCCCACTGGCTTGTTAAGCAGGGGTCGGGGGTCAGCCACCTCGGAAGGCTGCTTCTATCATTCCTCCCTCCCTCCGCCCCTCCCTCACTTCTTCTCTCCCTTTCTTCCTTCCTCCCTTCCTTCTTCCCTTCCTTCCTTCTTTTGCTTTTTCATATTTATGGTTTTCTTTCCCCATCCAAAATGTTTATTTCTCTTGTAATTGTCCTTTTTAGCAATTAAAATACAGTCAATGTGCAACATGCAATATGCAAGCTTTAGATTTTATATATTCTTTCAACTTTCAGTGCATGATTTTTAGCTTCAATTCACTTTGATTTTTAACTATTATTGAAAATGTCAAACACATATAAAAGTAGAACAGTATTTGGCCAGCCTGGTGGCGCAGCGGTTAAGTTCATGAGCTCTTCTTCAACGGCCTGGGGTTCGTCGGCTCAGATCCCAGCAGACCTACAAACTGCTTATCAAGCCATGCTGTGGCAGGCGTCCCACATACAAAATAGAGGAGGTTGGGCACAGATATTAGCTCAGGGCCAATCTTCCTCAAAAAAAACGTGGAACAATATAATGCACTCCAATATCTACGTAACTGTTACCCACTTCAACATTCATCAACATATGACTAACCCCAGTTTCATCTATACCCCCATTCCTCCCCCTCCCCCATTGTATTAGTTTTTAAAAATCCCAGACATCATAACATTTCACTTTTAATATTCTTTGGGATGTACCTCTAATACATAAGGAATCTTCTCTTTTAATGTAATCACAGACATTTGGCACATCTAAATAAATAATGGTAATTCTTTAATATCATCTAATATACAGCCCATGTTCAAATTCCCTGGATTATCTTATACATGGCTCTTTGCAGTTGGTTTAGGGAAATCAGAACTCAAAACAGGGCCACATATTGCACTCAGTTGTTGAAGTAGGCAGCTTCTGATATGGCTCCAAATGACCCCTGCCCCCTGATATTCCTCTCCCCTTGATGGAGGCCAGAACAAGCAACTTGCTTCTATAATGAATAAAATCAGCAAAAGTGATAGGATGTCACTTCCAAGATAAGGCTATAAAAGACTGTGACCATCTTCCATCTTCTTAGTACTATCTCTGCCTCTTCTCAGCCTCTCAGAGGAAGCAAGATGTCGGGTTGTGAACTGCCCCATGGGGAGGTCCACATGGTGAGGAGGTGAAAGCAGCCTCCAGCTAATGGCCAGGGGAGGACTCAGGCCCTCAGACCAACAGCCTTTGGGGAGCTGAATCCTACCAACGCCATGGGGAGTGAACTTGGAAGCAGATACTCCTGCCCTGAGATGACTGCAGCCCTGACCTTTATTGTAGCCTTGTGAAAGCCTCTCAGCCCAGATTCCTGACCCACAGAAACTGAAACAATAACTGATATTTTAAACCACTAGGTTGTGGGTAACTTTTTACACAGCAATGGATAATTAATCCTATCGTTATGTCTCCTGAATCTCTTTGATCTACAAAAGTTCCCCTATCTCTTGTGTTTTTTTCTTGCCAGGCCTGGTTCTTTATGGAAGACAGAGTTGTTGTATTATTCAGTGTCCCTTAAAGTGGGACTCAGAATGCCCTGAGAGATGGGGTGGGGGTGGCCCCTATACTAAAATTGCAGATGCCTGGGCTCTTTGGGACCTATTGAATCTGAGTGGGGACCAAGAATCTGTACTTCTAAGAGCATCCCAGAGGATTCTTTTATCTGCGGGAGTCTAAAGTCAGATAGACTTGGTTTGAAGACTTGGCTTTACCACTAGTTGTGCAGTCCTGTGTGACCTCCCCTCTCTGAACCTCCGTTTTCCCAGCTATAAGATATGTTTTTCATAGTATTTACTTCACAGGATGTTGTGCCTAGTGGCTCCCTTTCCCACTTTCTTGGTTCATGGATTTGCTCTCTTTTGTGAGAAAGAAAACTATAGTCATCATGGTGTATATTACATCCTCAGTACTTATTTATCTTATAACTGGAAGTTTGTACCTTTTGACCACCTCACACAATTCCCCCACTCCCCACCCCTACCTCTGGCAACTACAAATCTGGTTTCTTTTTCTAGGAGTTTGGTTTTTTTGAAATTCCGGATATAAATATTTGTCTTTCTTTCTGATATATTTGTCTTCTCGTTTGTCTTGACAAATGATATTTGTCTTTCTCAGTCTGACTTATTTCACTCAGCATAATGCCCTCAAGGTCCATCCATGTTGTTGCAAATGGCAAGATTTCCCTTTTTTATGACTGAATAGTATTTGTGTGTGTGTATATACTACATTTTCTTTATCCATTCATCTGTCATGGACACTTAGGTTGTTTCCATGTCTCGGTTATTGTAAATAATGCTGCAAGTCCAAGCTTTTAAAGTGTTCTTCTATATTTTTGCTTAGTGATTTCAGAAATCTCTCTCACATTTAAATTTTTAATCTAGCATTTTTTTTTTTTAATAGTGTTAGAGGGCCAGCGCCGTGGCTGATGGTTAAGTTCACACACTCCGCTTCGGCAGCCCAGGGTTTCGCTGGTTCAGATCCTGGGCGCGACATGGCACTGCTCATCAGGCCATGCTTAGCTGGCATGCCACATAGCACAGCCAGAAGGGCCTAAAACTAGAATATACAACTGTGTACCGGGGCGCTTTGGAGAGAAGAAGGGAAAAAAAAGAAGATTGGCAATGGATGTTAGCTTAGGCGCCAATCTTTAAAAAAAAAAGAAAAAAAGTGTTATAAAGGGATCTGCCTTAGGTCAGATTCCCAAGAAATAGCCCAAGATGGGAATTCTTCATCAAGTAACTGGAGAAATGTTCTCAGAAGAAGGAGAATGAGGTTATCAGGAGAGGGCAGTGAGGAAAAGCTGAGCAAGAATGTCCTCTTGGCTGGTGACTGGCTTTGGTTGGAGCCCAGACTGTACCACCAAGTTAGTTCCACCTGGAGGTAAGGAATCTGCCTTTTATACATACAACTATGCCAGTCTGCTACTGGCCAAGGTCTGCCAGGCGGAGGGGGGCTGGCAGGAGAGGGGTACCCCTCTCCAGAGGTGGGTGCTGCAGGGGGCTGGGTGCATTGCTGGTGAAGGGATCTGGGTGGGGCACCAACAGTGTGTGCTATAGGAAATCTGGATAGGACACCAGCTGCACGCCTTACAGGATCTAAGTTAAACTTTTCCATGTAGTATTCTAGCTGTCCCAATACCTTTTATTTTAACAGTTTATCCTTCCCTCCCTCATTTGAAATGTCACTTTTATCACATCCTAAATTCCTATGTATACATGGGTCTATTCCCGGTCTTTCTATCCTGTTCCATTGACCTACTTATCCAGTTCTGCATCTCTCTCACACAGTGTTTAATTTAGCATGGCTTTACGGTTGTTTTTGTTATTTGGCAGGGTCTACTCATCTGATTAGACTCTGTGCATGTGTCACTTCTTTGGGAAGTTCAGTGGGAATTTAGTGCGTAATTGCCGAATGGAGGACAGCTCTGCTGGCTCTGACTCCATTTATTCCCAATTTAAAAGCTGACACCCCAGACCCCCATCAGACTCTGCTCCTGGTACAGGGCTCATTACACCTCTTCCTCTGGCCCTCCTCATCAAGCCTAGGGCTGCTCAGGAAGCAAAGGCAAAGCTTGACTGGATTCTAGAGGTTGCCAAGGGCCAGGTTGGGACTGGCTAGGACAAATGGGCAGAGCTCTGCTGGATCTGTGTCTCCCACTCAGTCATCACAATGTCTGCCCATGTGTCCCAGGCATGGGGACAAATCGTGGTGCAGATATTGGTGTGTCAGAGGAGCTACATCTGGAAAT